GCTATCATCCATCCAACCATATCAACTCTAGCATCTTATCTATCTATCCATCTATCTGTTCTGACCTCAGCTTCCCCAAAAAGCACTAAGCAGATTTTTTGTCCCGGCAAAACCCCTTTTATTAAACGAAGGTGAATTTCTTGCATTCAGCTTCCGCCAAAGGCCTGACCAACAGCCTTTCAAGGGTGTAATGAGGAGCACAGACCTGATCTAGCCTGGAGAGCTGCCAAGTAACTATTTCCAAACGCAGTGCTGACAAGGAAGGACTCGGCACAAGAGTCTCTGAGATGCAGACAGATCTTCCCACTGTGGCAACGAACAAATTGTTTCCTGCAAAAGCCCCCTTCCCTTTCGCTCCTCTTTTAATCCCTATGGGAGGGGCCATTCACCGTCCACCTGTGTCTTTACTCCCACGTCAACCCTTGTTTCTTAGCTGTTCCCTTCTTCTGGCAGCTCTGCGCGTACACACATTGAGGACAGGCTCCAGCTGTTCTTCTGCCCCCCTGAATCTCTGACTCTGAAGGCAGCTGATAATTGTCGGATGGCCCTGGCCCCATTCTCTGCCTCAGACGCAGAGCTTTCCCCAGACTCCAGGACTGGCCCATGTTCCTCCCCAACCTCCTCACTGTCCAACTCTGCTGCCAGCACCACTAGCAACACTCCCCTCCCTCCTTCCCTCTACAATTGGATAATCAATTTGCAACCTCAGCATATCTTAAGACCTCCCCAGGAGCTACCCACCATGCTGAGGCTTATAAGGTAGGGAAACTAAGAGGCGAGTTGAGAAGTTTGTTCTTTAACCTGAAGGCCTGGTCTAGAAGTAGCAGCTCATCTCTCTGAGTGGAAAGAGACTCTCTCATGGAGGGGCAGGCAAGAGCTCGTGGGAACCACTAACCTGTTTCCTCGTCTCTGGGAGGACGTTCCGGTCCAGGAATCCCAGCGGGCTCGTTCCAGCTCTTCAAATTTTTGGTGATAGGTCAGATACGTTTCATCCGAAGTGTCTTCCAGCTAGAAGAAAAATAAAAGTGAAGGTCAAAAGGTCTCCAATCTAGTCTGGAAATTGTTAAAAATGGCATTACCATTGCTTTATATTTTCACATATATAATTCTACATATCACAGAAATGATGGGATGGAGGTGGGGGGGCACGAGGAAAAGAAGAGAAGGAGCCAGAGGAGGAGGTCGACTGTAAGATCGTTGGTGCTTTCTGAGCTGGACGGTTTTCTTGCAGACATTTCCTGACGCAATAAGGAAACGTCATCAGTGCTAGACGGGAGGGCGTTTGCAGGTAGGGGGAGGAGGAAAGGGAGAGAGAGGAAGAAAGAGAGGGAGAGAAGGAGAAGGAAAGAAGAGAAGGAAAGAAGAGAAGCAAAGACAAGAAAGTAGGAGGATTGTGGGATCCTTGGGGCTCTCTGAGCTGGGTGGTTTTCTTGTAGACGTTTCATGACCCAGCTAGGGAACAGCATCAGAAGGGAAGGGGATTGACACAGAAGAAAAGCAGGAGGAGGAAGAAAAGGAGAAGGGGGAGGAGGAATAGACGGGAAGAGAAGGAAGGAAATGTAGAAAAAGAGGAGGAGGAGGAGGGGGAAAGAGGAGGAGGAGGAAGGAGTAGAAGGAGAAGGAAGAGGAAGGAGAAGTTGAAGAAAAAAGATGGAGAAGAAGAAAAAAGGGAGAAAGGGAAGAGAAGAAAAAAACAGGGAGAAGGGGGAGGATGAATAAATGGGGAGGAGGAGGAGGAAGTAGAAAAAAACGAGAGGAGGAGGAGGGAGAAAGGGAAGAGGAGGAAAGAGGAAAAGCAGTTGATGGGGAGGGGGAGGAACAAGAAAAAGGAGAAGAAGAACAAGAGGAGGGAGAAAGGGAAGAAGCAGAAGACAGGGAGGAGGAGGAAGAGGAGGTGGAAGGAGGAGGAGGAGAAGGACTAGTAGTAGTAGAAGGAGAAGATGACAGGGAGGTGGGAGGAGAAAAGGAAGAGGAGGAAGAAAGAGAAGTAGTAGTAGGAAGAGGACGACTGAGGGGAATCTCTGAGCCTCGCTGTTTCCTTGGCAGACATTTCACAACCCAACTAGGAATGTCATCAGGCCCTTGCATTGTCCTTCCCCATCATACCAGGCCAGGCGTCTCCTGTCCCCTCCCTCCTCCTTCCACTCCCAAATTGTGGCTGCGGGTTGCGGAATGTGTATTTAGAAACACACACACACACATCCCAAGCTTGGGGATCAACCACACACACACACACCCTTTACCTCCATGTCCGCTTCCTCTAAGATCACCAACTCTTTGGGATCCACTGTTCTCCAGCTAGAGAGAGAAAGGGAGGGGGTGTTACTGATTGGTCGATTTGTGACTCACTTAACAACCACAGTGATTCACTTAACAACAGTGGCAAGGAAGGTCTTAAAACAAGGCAAACAGCACTGAAAAATGCTTCACTTAACCACGTGACTCACTGAAACCGAATTCCCTTCAGGACGGTGGCAAGGAAGGTCCTTAAATGGGGCCAAACTCCCTGAAAATTGTTTCGCTTAACTGTGTGACTCAACAATTGCATGGATTCCCTTAATGACGATGGCAGGAAAAGGCGTAAAATGGGGCCCAACTCACTTCCCCGACGCTTCCACTTCACAACCGATTGTCTTCCCTTAACCTCCATCTTTCTCAGCCAAAAAAATGCGGTCATGAGGTCGAGGTGTCAGCTTCGGAATTCCCCGTAATGGAATTCCTTCGGGGACTGAGACATGAGGTTTCCCCACCCCTCCCTTCAAATTAAATTCCTTTTCGTCTTCAATTTTTAAAATCCCAGATTCTGGATTCCTCAGGAAATCAATTTGAGATTTCAACTCCCGACGCAAATAAAATAACACAAAGTATAAAATACAATAAAATAAAGTAAAATAAATGAAATAAATAAAATATAAAATAAAACAATATATAAAATAAAGTATTAAAATAAATAAAATAAATTAAAATAAATAAAATAATTAAAATAAATAAAATAAATGAAATATTTAAATAAAATAAATAAAATAATTAAATGAATTAAGTAAAATAAATGAAATAAATAAAATAAATAAATTAACTTAAATAAATAAAATAAAATACAGTAAAATGCTGTAAAAATAATATACTGTAAAATAAAAATAAAACTGAATCAAAAGGAACTCACCTGGGGGTTAAAATCTCTTTATATTGCAATTTTTCCACCCGGGTGGCGGAGGCCATAGACATCGGAATGACGATGTTGTTGATATCGTAGGAAGTTTCCACTTTTTTCTTTTTGGCAGGCTGCATGGGGAGAAAAAACAACAACACACACACACACCACAACACACCATCGGTGAAACAAACCAACAAACGAAAGACGCCAGGGGAGGAGGAGGAAGAAATCTTGCCACTTCGCAGGAGTGAAGGGGGCGTTTTATCTCTGAATAAAAGGGGTTCACCTTAAGACGGGGCTGGACTAAATGACCCACAAGGGGATTTTGATGGGATGGAGACAAGGCTTTCCTATGACAGGATGTGTGTAGCTCGGGGTTGAAGGGTGGGCTGTGCGTCTCTCTG